CACACCTTCACTGGAAGGTCTAAAAGAGTTTGTTTACCTTAATAACAGGGAAATTTATCTCAACATCAGTATTAGTTACTTTCTCGTAATCATTGTTGTAAACGTCTATGCTCACAATATCAGACCCAATACTACGAAAAAGCATAATTGTTAAAATCTGCACGCAGAAACATGTATTATTACCATCAGACAGTGGAATATTAATTATAAAATGGTTTACACTTTATTGAGTAAAACTGAGGGGTTGGCCTAGATGTAATACTCCCTCTTCTTGTACTGAACATCTCGGTTCAAACCCGATGTGCGTCGAAGTCTAGAATTATTTATCAGAGTCTGACCGCTTGGCTCCTCGAATAACCCACACATTCAGGTTTAAGTGGGGTAAGAAAAATGTTGTACTAAAGTTGAGTGGCGACTGCCAAGGTTCCCCTGGGGCCTAGTACAAATTTCAATGAAGACAAATATATTAATAGTTAAAGGTAAATGTTGGAGAATAACCCATACCTCGCTGATTGAATTGCGTATGGGCAGTGGTTCTGTGACTACTGTACCTATAGCCGCCGTAAAGAGGCGCTTATTATAGTCGAACTACATGTTTTTTCAGTTTATTTCACAACGACAGGGGTTGAAATTATTAACCACAACTTACTCAGTTTTCAAAAGTGTGTATTCCAGTGATGTCACACTCACAAAGACTTTAAAAGGTCCTTCTAAATAATAATAATAATAATAATAATAATAATAATAATAATAATAATAATAAGAGCCTAATCAATTATTGTATATTTCAATAAAATGTGTTAAAGTGTTTAATTATTCAAAAGTAATATGTAAATTATAAGAGTGAAATTCAATACCGGTACTAGTTTATTTGCTCTCGAATACAATTTCTATACTTTTTTAATACATACCCTCTGCAGCTCTGTCATCAACTGAAACCGAGAATGTGACACTATCTGGTTCAGATGTTACAGCAAATTTGGTAACTCCTTGCATTTCTTCAAAAGTCATAATAACTGAAATGAACATTGAACTAAGCACATTTCAGTAAATCTAACAAAGTTGTCTTAATGTTTTTATTTATAAAGACCGCCTTCGGTGTTTTTTGTGAGGCTTAAGTATCATAATGTTTAGAATTTATATAATCAGTTGGTGTTGTGAAGCCCAGGCCAAATACGTATAACCAGATTTAGAAGAAACCTTGCAATGAAACACTAACTGCCTTTAAATAAATTTAAAAAAAAAAAAACAATTGTGAGGCAATAATTGATTTAGAAAAGGGGTAGGGGTGCCGAATAGAAATATTTTATCCAAAGAACTCTACGCAAGACTAGGGACGGAGCATAGGCCTATATATTCCTACTGAAACATACGATGGGAAGCTTATACAGCACAAAATTATGTTTGCCCTACCTGACGTGTTATATATAAGTACTGAATGCTCACATTCCCAAATACTTGCACAAAAATCTCGCTTTCGGTAAGAATCGAACCCACGACCTCCGGTAACTAACCCAATGTTTTAACCACTAGACAAGCTTGGTGCTCTAGTGGTTAAGACATCGGGTTAGTTACTTGGAGGTCGTGGGTTCGATTCCTACCCAAATCACTTGCCAGATTTTTTTTCGAAAGTATTTGGGAATGTGAGAATTCAGTACTTATAACACGTAAAGTAGGGCAAACATCATTTCGTATTATTTCTCCTGACGCAAAACGCCATCGGAATAGCATTACAGTACCCGCTTCTACTTGGGGATCGGATTTATCACAAGCTACCAAGCGCAGACTCGGTGGTCTAGTGCTAAATACATCAGGCTAGTTACCTGGAGGTGGTGAGTTCGATTCCTACCCGAATCACTTGCGAGATTTTTTCGCAAGTATTTGTGAATGTACTAAGCATTCAATGCTTACAACACGTCAAGTAGGGCAAACATCATTTCGTATTATTTTTCCTGACGCAAAACCCCATCGGAAAAGCTAGACAGCTTATGCGGCAACCTGCAGCAGTCTTCCTTTTGTTGTTTTTACATGCTTTTCTCTGGGGATCGAGCCTCGCGCTCACATATGAAAAAAGTTGGAGATAGCCCAACCAATTCCAGAATTGTACTTACACCACGATATTAGTATAAGAACTACATTACTTCAATCATTACACTTTTATTTTATTTAAAATGCTAAGTATAATCATTAGAGGAAGAATGATTACCAACCTTGAACCGTCACTGTAAACGTACAAGTAGCATTATTACCAGCGGAGTCCATAGCTGTAAATGTGTAATAAGTTGGTCCGAGTCCAATATTAGCTGGGAATGATGTTGAAGGATCAGGCAAGATGGCAATGGCTTCCCCGGAGTTGTCGGTTACAGATATTGAACTTGAATAGTCAACCGTTTTCATAGAAGAACCCGAGTCAGCATAAACAGTATTGTCAGATGGACATGTAAACACCGGGTCTTCTTTATCTTTGAAATTTATTAATTATATATTTTTTTTATTGAACTAAATTAAAAAAAGCGAAGTTAATTTGGATTAGGTAGTTCAGATGGTTTATATTTTTTTTTATTCCGATATCTATTTTCTTAAAAACTTACTTTATTTAATAAAAAAAAAAACAACAGAGCAAACTGAAAGCATATAATCATTTCTATCATCATACTTTATTAACGTGATGTTAATATGATCTAGGCCTAGGCCTATATGTATGCTTTTCAATTATCTTCTGGTTGAAAAATATGCATATGTATACATATTACTGAATTCGGTTAGAAGTTAAGTTTATGTGGTAGGCTACAGCAGAGTCTTCTTTTGGTTATTCTACTTATTCCTCTCTAGAAGCTTCACGCTCAAATCTTGTAATTGAAGCTAGCTCAAATAATGTCAGGTATACACACAGAACGAGAATATCGTATATTACTTATAAATGATTACTCTTTAATTTCAAAATAATACGTATGAATGATTACCAACCTTGAACCGTCACTGTAAACGTACAAGTAGCATTATTACCAGCGGAGTCCATAGCTGTAAATGTGTAATTCGTTGGTCCGAGTCCAATATTAGCTGGGAATGATGTTGAAGGATCAGGCGAGGTGACAATGGCTTCTCCAGAGTTGTCGGTTACAGATATTGAACTTGAATAGTCAACCGTTTTCATAGAAGAACCTGCGTCAGTATCCACAGCCTCGTCCGGTGGACATGTAAACACCGGGTCTTCGTTATCTTTGGAATTTATTAATTTAATTAAAACTTTATAATATACCGCCAAATATTTAACGATCAAAATAACACTACAGGTTTTTTTTAAATGAAATATCATAAAAAAAATCATCAAAGCAATATACGCATAATAAATATTTGAAATGGACATAAATATTATTTTTTAAGCTATATCAAATTAAATTGTTTAAAATATATAGATAGAATATTATCATATGGATAGGCTTTTCCTTGTAACAGCATGTAAGAATAAATAGGAGTATTTAAGCTAATTATTGACAGCAATGTTACCAGTTATTAAACTAAATAAAAGTCGAAGTTAATTTAGATTAGGTAGTTTAGATGGTTTATATATTTTTCTGATTTAAATATCTATCTTCTTAAAACTTACTTTTTAAATAAAGAACAATAGACCAAACTAAAAGCATGTATTTACATATCATATTTTATTAACGTGATGTTAATAGGATATATATGTATGCCTTTCAGTTTTTTCCTGGTTTTCATATTACTGAAACATGAGAAGTTAATAATTTATGTCGCAACCTACAGCAGAGTCTTCTTTTTGTTGTTCTACTTATCCTTCTTTGAGGAACATCACGCTCAAATCTAGAAATTGAAACTAGCCCAACCAACAGAATCACACCACGGAATTGCTTTTACCGGCAATATTTCAGTTATTACTCTTTCATTTTAAAATGATACGTATACATGATTACCAACCTTGAACCGTCACTGCAAACGTACAAGTAGCATTATTACCAGCGGAGTCCATAGCTGTAAATGTGTAATTCGTTGGTCCGAGTCCAATATTAGCTGGGAATAATGTTGAAGGATCAGGCGAGATTGCAATGGCTTCTCCAGAGTTGTCGGTTACAGATATTGAACTTGAATAGTCAACCGTCTTCACAGAAAAACCCGAGTCAGTATAAAAAGTCTCATCAGATGGACATGTAAACACCGGGTCTTCCTTATCTTCTGAATATATCAATTTAATTTAAATATCATAATATTCCGCCAAATATTTAACGATCAAAATAACAATAACTTTTTTTTAAATATAAAAATTTGTCAAAACAATATGCGCATGATGAATAATTGAAATGGACATCAATATTATTTGTTACTAGTTATTTAACTAAATAAAAAGCGAAGTTACTCTAGATTATGTAGTTCAGATGGTTCATATTTTTTTCCCTTTGATTCCAATAGCTATCTTCTGCAAACCTTGTTAAAACTTACTTTTTTAATAAAGAACAATAGACCAAACTGAAAGTATATATTTCTATCATCATATTTTATTAACGTGATGTCAATATGATCTATACGCTTTTCAGTTTTTTCCTGGTTGTCATATTACTGAAAAATACGATTAGAAGTTAGTACTTTATGTCGCTAACTACAGCAGAATCTTCTTTTTTTGTTGTTCTACTCATTCTTCTTTGAGGAACATCACGCTCAAATCTATAAATTGAAGCTAGCCCAACCAATTCCACGAGAATATCGTACCGGTAATACAATTATTATTCTTTCATTTTAAAATGATACGTATGAATGATTACCAACCTTGAACCGTCACTGTAAACGTACAAGTAGCATTATTACCAGCGGAGTCCATAGCTGTAAATGTGTAATTCGTTGGTCCGAGTCCAATATTAGCTGGGAATGATGTTGAAGGATCCGGCGAGATGACAATGGCTTCTCTAGAGTTGTCGGTTACAGATATTAAACTTGAATAGTCAACCGTTTTCATAGAAGAACCCGAGTCAGCATAAACAGTATTGTCAGATGGACACGTTAAAACCGGGTCTGTGTTATCTTTGGGATTTATAAATTTGATTTAAATCTCATAATATTTCGCCAAATAT